TCCCTGCCCGTGCCCTCTGTTTCATCCAATACTGATTTTGCTGCTCCTATTACTGATGTATTGGTTGCTGACACGCGGGTGACTTTTCTTGTCGACACTGGAGCAGCCTGTTCTTTACTTAACCCCAAGGGTTTCTCCCGCTCATGGCTTCGTAAAGCTGAGGTCTCTCACCGACGTCCTCGTATCGTGGCTGCCAATGGCATGCTCTTTCCTTCTCGTCTTTAATCGACGTTCCTCTGTATCTTGGTGCCTCCGAATTTCGCCATCATTTTTATGTTTGTGCTGATATTCAGTGGCAGGGCATTCTAGGGGCCGATTTCCTCTACGCTCATGGGTTTTGCATTGACTTTGCTACCTGTCAGCTCACGTTTACTACTACCACGGTTCCCTGCCATACCGGAAGGAAAAGTGGTCCCAAACTCGTACCTCACAGCCGTCAGATAACGTTACCTGTAAGCCAGCCCTCCACATGAGAACTGAAACACACTGTAGCGAGATGAATGGTTGCCGCAGGCTGTTTACGGTTAGCGGAAGTTGACGCAACTTTTCTAACGCAGACAACAAAGCACGTTTCTGGTGTTTGTACGACTCCTTCGTCCTCGAAGGCCTCTAGTTATCGACATTGCCCACAGAAGCGAGGCGAAAAGATGGCACCAAGGCGTAAGTTCCAAGGCACTTCAGTCATGGGGTGGAGCGTCGTACCTCATCTGTCCGTGACTGGTACACTTCCTGTGAACCTAATGCGCACAAGGGAACACGTCGAGGCAGTGGAAATGCCAGACGCATTATCCTCAGTGCTGAACAGTGCGCGACTTCCGGGATGCTGAATTTAGGTCCGGGAAGACAGTCGAAAATTTGTGGTGAAGGTTGCGTTGACTACTAAGGGGGGGGGAGAGATCCTGCTGGCGATTTACCAGGCCCTATGACGACATTTAAGTCAAATGAATATGAACTTAAGCGGAAGCGCAACTGCGGGAAAGGATACCTTCCACAATTACGATCGACAGCTTACAGTTCTCCTATGCCGGACCTCTGTTACAATGCTGTGCATCTCGCGTGTACTTTCGCGCGTCATGTCTGGCTCGCTGTCAACCACGGCTATTTAAACGGGCCAATCGACGTCAAAGCCAACTCAGATGTGCGCTGCTGAATGTACTGTTATGCAGGCCTCTCACTCGCCTGGGATGCCAACTGTGGGTCGCGAGACGTCCGCCCCTTTGAATACCATCCAACATCGTTTTCAATTCGGTACCGGACCTGAACGTCGTAGTGGCTGCAGTCTCTTTATGACTTAGACTGCCGCAACAAACCTTCGTCACCGAGTGATCCCTGCCCCTGCCACTTGAAACCGGCTCCTTGAAGCGTCACACTTAGACGGGGGGGGGATGGAGCAGAGAGCAGACGTTGACAGGCC